ATAAAATTAATTGTTTGAATTTGTTATTCATATTTATGCTCAATGTTTATATTTGAATTATTTGGGTGGTGAAATTAATTAGGGTGTTTGTATTTTTAATTTATTGTTTAATTTGTGATAAAATTAATTGTTCCTAAAAAGTTTACTTATTTGTTTAAATTTGGGCCCACCGTAGTAAAAAGTTTATAAAGTTTAATTAAACCCTATTCACCCCCCTCTAGGGTTGTCATACCGATCCAACAATCTACCTTCCAATGTTCTTTTAACTCAGGCAAAATACATAGATGTGTGTTGCGTAGCTTGGATATGGAAGGTTTAAAGCCAGCCCCCTCCCCCACTGTGTTGGTTAAACACTTGTCAATTTCTGACGGAGAACCCATGAGTGATCCATTTCTGTACATATGTATTATTGGCACCCTTCAATATCTCACCAACACTCGGCCAGACATCGCGTACATCGTTAATCACCTGAGTCAATTTCTCAAACAGCCCACCGATATACATTGGAAAGCTGTGAAGCGGGTGTTACGCTACTTAAGTGGTACAAAACACATGGGCCTCCACATACAACCCAGTGACATGGTCTCTCTCACAGCTTATCCTGATGTAGGTTGGGCATCAAACATTGATGATCGCAAATCAATTGATGCTTATTGTGTTCTCTTTAGAAACACTCTTGTCTCGTGGTCGTCAAAGAAACAAATGGTTGTTGCTCGCTCCAGCACTGAGTCCAAATATCGTGCTCTTACTCATGCTTCCGCTGAAATTATATGGCTGCGACAACTCCTTGGTGAAATTGGTCTAAACGTTAGTTCTCCGCCCATTATTTGGTGTGACAATATCAGTGCTAGTGCTCTAGCAACTAATCCAATCTTCCACGCCCGAACCAAGCACATTGAAATAGATGTCCACTTTGTTCGGGATCACGTGTTACACGGTGCTCTTGAAGTTCGTTATGTACCGTTTGCTGATCAACTAGTCGATTGCCTGACTAAATCACTCACTCACTCTCAATTCCACCTACTACAATCCAAACTCGGAGCGCTTGACCTACCCGCTCGTTTGCAGGGGGATGTTAACGTAACTTCAGCAAGGAAGTTGAAGCCACACACCAAGTCATAGTCAAAACAAGAAGATCTATCCTTAAAAGTTGTTGTGCATTTTTGTTACAATATTTTTGTTAATTTTATATTCTTTTTCTTCTAAAATTAGGATACATTTTTGTATAAATAGGGCCTTTGAGTACCATCATAATATAGTGAAAACAAATACAAACATCTTACCTTCAATATGAAACTTTCTCTTGTGAAATTCTTACTCGTTTGTATAGGTTTTAATTATCAATTCTTTTAAGTCTTTATTAACCAATGATTAACATAGTCTCAAGATACTTCTCATTTTGAAGCAGTGTCAATTCATTCAAGTGCCACTTGTTTGCTTGGGCATCACATGCCTGCTAGTTTCCACCTATTTTGTCCCCGAACCACATGGAAGAAATTTTGTTTGATACCATTGGTAGCACCCCAAGCCTAAGATTCAGACCAAAGTTTTGAATTTGGATTCGAACGTAGCGGCCCTGATATTCTCATGCACTCCTTGATATGATCCAAAGAACTCCCTTTATTATGCCTCATGGACCGATTACAAGATCGAGAGCTAAGAAACTTCAACAAGCTTTACTACTTCGTGTCCAAGCATTTGCGAACTTGACAAGAGAAATTAAGGAAGAATATGTGCAAGAAATTGGAACTATTCACTTCAATTTGGTGCAAGTTATGCATTTTTAAGTGTTTTTAAGGCAAGTCAAAGTCAGCTACATCAAGACAAGTCAAAGTCAACTCATTCAATTCAAAAACCAAGTCAAATACTCACATCCTTCATTATGGACGGGATTGCAATTTATTTTGTTAAACTCGCCATGTTCTTAACATTTTCATTTGCTTGCCTTTTCATTTATTTAAGTTATGACTTTTCATTTCTTGTTGCTAGGTTACGTCACATTTACATGTCTTTTCATTTCTTGTAAGTTATGAGTCTTTCCATTTTCTTAAGACTTTTCATATGGCTTGTTAGGATGGTTATATATAGCCTTGAGATGTCTTGTTGTAAACACAATTTGAAGTTTAATGAAAATTGAGTTTTCTCGTTAGCTTGGTTGAGAGTTTTATCTCTCATATCTTATGCAATTTCTTGTATCTTTAGAATTTGCATGTTATGATCATTCAAGTAGTGTTGATCATACCTCTTGTGGAGTGATTCGAATCACAAGTTTAGAAACGAGTTTTCTCTATTCTTGATATTGATCATCAAGGTAACCCGTTCTTAAACTTTTCCTTGGGTTGATTCCATAATTGTTTTTGGGGTTTTTGGGATTGTGTTCTTTGGGTCTTATTTGTTAGCAAGGTTCTTAGATTCAACTCTCGAGAGTTTCTTAATACTCCTATAACCTAGAGTGCATACTACCTGCTTGACCTGAGTTAATTTTAAGAGCGAAGACTGTCCCTATCAACTAAGTCACATAAAATGACAATTATGACCTATTTCTACAAGTTTCTTAATACTCCTATAACCTAGAGTGCATACTACCTGCTTGACCTGAGTTAATTTTAAGAGCGAAGACTGTCCCTATCAACTAAGTCACATAAAAGGACAATTATGACCTATTTCTACAAGTTTCCATGACTTTTATGATTTTTCTCGAAACTTTTGTTAATTGACATTGTTTAAAAACACTGAAAGCTCAACATTTTCAATTGACATGAAGGTGGTGGGAGGAGAGGGGAATGGTTAAGAGAGGCCAGTAACATTTAGCTACTATGGAAGAGGTGAATGTTACATTTACCTAACTTATTGTTAGAGAATATTTTTCCAATTAATATTTCATAAAACACTACTAGGATTTACCTTTGTAGATTTCTAAATTTAAGGAATATTTTTTTTACCAAATTATCTTCATTTAATTTTTTCCTACCACATTTATTATATTACTTTATATTTATACTTTTCTAATAAAGTTTGATTAATATTACTATTGATCAATTACAATTCAATTCAAAACGACATGAAATCAGAAAATATCCGTACAATGTATACATACATATATATGACCATAACTTAGCTCAATCGGTTAAGGCTAATCAAAAGGTTCTGAGTTGGAATCCCCCCATACATATTGTATTAAAATATACTCCAATATATATAATAATGTATTATATAGACCGAGTTGATAAATTTGATGGTAAGATGTATACTTTATATTATGGCGACGATAGTGATAAGATATTATGTTGATTGGAACATAGCGACAGTAGCAGGATCTGGATCGCGACGCACTTAACACAGCGACTAGCCGATCTAGAAACAACCTTTCTGTTGCACCGCATTGTTTCGTTGCGACAAGTTAGGGCGGTGGAAGGCTACTGCAATAGTGGCAACTTAAACACACAAACGATCGATGGGCCACGATGGCAACAGGCTGAACACAACGACTACCGAAGACGAAAAACAAAGCAACCCTTCGGGAGCTGCACCCTCCTAATTATTGTTTGAAAGAGCAGGGGACTTTTTTTGTAGGACAAATGATTTTTATGGCAAATATGGGAAAGAGGGAGGAAAGAGTGAGGAGATATCTGGTTTTCATAAATCTCAAATAACAAAGATGGGAAGGAGGAAAAAACAAGGAAAGTTTGAAATGGTTATGAAAAGTTTTTTTTTTTTTCCTTAATAATTGAAATCAGTGTTTTTTCCTCTTTTTTAGTTTTTTTAATTCTTCTAAATATTTAATAATGAAGGACAGATTTGTCAATTTAATGTTAGTAGGGAATCTGAACGTCGAGAGACTTTGTTTTACCACTTAAACAAAAATGAAAAACCTTTAATTTTTTTTAACACTTCTGTAATATATAGGTTTAGAAAGTGGTCATCTTGTTGTTAGCCCTACGTTTCATTTTGTTAGGCCTCTTTGGCCTCGAATAAGAGGTGTCGACAAGGTTTAAGTTTTACTTTATTGGGATTCATATAAAATTATTATTTACTATTATTAATGTTTTTTTTTAAATACTTTTAAGATTTTGAGTTTAGTTTAATCTTTATGTAATCATTCAATATTATCTTTTGTGATTGGACAATCACATGGCCTCTCTCTGTCTCCTCTTTCTCTCTTTGCCAGCTGTCACCCTCCTGTTGTTGTTACCACTAATTCGCCTCCATCAAATCTGAAAACAACCTTCATTTTAGATTTGGAATTGCAACCAAGGAACCACCTCCTCTTGCTTCTAAAAGTTGGTTCCAAATTTGAAACCACCCATTCAAGTTCAGAGGAAGTTTAGAGGAATATCTGTGATGACAAATTAACATCGACAACTAGAGAAGAGAAGGGCGACCGCGATGATGCTTGGCAACAAGGGAGGCAAGGTTCCCAAAACCCGGGCTGAACCCCTCTCCTTACCTAGTCAAGCGACGCGTGAAACGTACCAAGGACAGAAAATAAGGCAATGTCCGTATCAATAATCCAATCAGCAAAAAATAATATAAAACTAATATATTTTTACTACATAATGAGATTTGTCACATCATCAAAGCCAAATGATCAGACGTGAGAGAGCAAATTAATCAGTGGAAAAATCATGAATATGATCCAAACTCTCAAAAAAGAATGCGTTTCACAAATTTCTAAACTAATCACATCCATCTCATTCCTTTTCTTTCTTTGGACAAAGCAGCTTTCCTGTCATTACAGATCCCAATATAACAAAGAGGGGAGGGAGGAGAAATGACCAAATCTAATTTTCGTGAATATAATATAATTCAGTGCATTTAGAACATAAAAAAAAAAAAAAGAAAACTTGAGTAGTATATCTCTCCTTCTACTATCAGTTTTATCACATGGACAATGGAAGAAGCATCCTTCTTTTCTTCTTCCTAGCCAATCTCACTTGCTTTGTAACTTTCATGCATAGAAGCAACAACATTGTGATGCATACTAAAATAAAAGCCAACTGCATATGCCGAAAATATAAAGAAACCGCCGAAAACACCAAGAAGGCTAGAATTATGAGTTCCCATATTACAAAAATAACAACATCCACCCTGCATCCACAATAGTAAAATACAAAATGCATGTCAGAAGTGATGGTATATTGGATACTTTCACATGCAGATAAAGGATATATAAACCGAAGGATAAAGAATGCGATATGGACAGTAATGCAGACCAGAATGATGATATCTATCTGAGAAAGCTTACATCAGTGGGCATAAGTGAAAATTCTTAATCAAACATCAACTAGCTGAAAATAAATGCAAATAAGTTCATATCATGCATAATTCCATACTTCCAATTTTAAATTTTGTTCAATAACATAATATTTATCTGAACCTAAACAAACATTCTATGAAATTGAATAAGCATCACCTAACCAAAATAGAGAAGTTATTCTCCCAGTACACACTAGACACATTATCGATAATAAAGAAAATGTATTCCCAAGATCATGTTATTTTTGTTATAAAAATAAAGCAAGATTAAAGAATCAGAGAACTCTAGCCCATTGAAATGTCCATTGTCCAACATATCTTTGCCAAGCGTGACGAATATAGCAATCAAGGCAAGATATAAAGACAGAACTCAATCGACAGAAACTCATAATTTTAATTACTTCGGCAGAATCCCACGAGCATCTTTCAATACCCACTAACACAACATAAGCACGCGATTTAATGCTAAGTAAGCAACGATTACAAGAAATTTAAGCAGCTACGGTTTAAAAGGAACTCATTTCCATCCTCAAAAAAGAAATGAATTGCATAAGAGAACTCAAATCGAACAATTAGAATAGCACATCACCTGACCCGACATAGCAAATAACTTGAGATACAGAATATAACATGATGCATGACAACATTTATTTGTCATTTATTTATAAGAATCCCGTTTCAAGTATCGAATTTCACATGAAAACTAGTATTCCCCTATTAGTTACTAATAAACCACGTGACCATTGCACATTACCGAGCGCCTAACAGATGATAAGCTCCACCCAGTACCAAAGGAATCAACATTTCCAAAACGATCTTAGAAAATTCCAAATTTTATTAACGAAGGCAACGACAATTTCCCTGTTCGATCAAAGCAGACAATAAAATTCATAGAAAACAAAACAAATAGGGGACACAGTCATTATCCCAATCCTCCGAACCAAAACCCTAATTCACCGATCACAACCGACCCAATTCAAAGCAAAACAAACCCAACGCCTTAAATTAAGAATCAGAAACACAGGTACATAAATATGAATTTCGAAATCGGAAAGAGAAATGAGAGCGCATTGAAAATTAAGGCCTGATTGGGTTGGGTACCTTGAGGATGTAATATTGGAGGTGGAGGAGAAGAAGGAGACGGAAGCCCACTCGTGCTTGGATCGAATCTGGTATTCCCTCAACTGCTCAACCAGATTCGATCGAGTAATCATCGCTGCGCCCCGAGAGCTTGAGTTTCCCTCTACGGAGCTACGGCGATGGTCGATGATGGAGGATTTTACACAGCGGCAGACGAATCAAACGAGAAATTGAGAGAGAGCATGAGGCGTTCAATTCGCAGTCGCGGGGTTTGGTTTGTTACGTTGCGTGGACCTTCTCTTACTCCTGCCTTCTCCCCTCTCTTAATTTTGTTCTTCCCCAATTCCCCTTTTCCATTATTGCTTCAAATTTGGACTCTGCCAAATCTGATGATGGAGATTGGAGATGGACCTTCTGGCTTGGATTCTGTTTTAGAACCCTCATCAGCTTTAGCTGGCGCAGTTCTCTGGGCCGAGGCCCAATACATTTGGGCTCTGCATCCGGCCCATAATCGTGCCTCCCTTGTTCAAGTGATAATTCGAAGAAATTTCAAAACAAATTGACATGGTTGTTGAGTTCTAAAATAGAGCAATGCACATGTGTTGTATTGATAACCATTTACTGATCACTGGCGCAGGGGATGGTTAAAAAATGAACGATAAACCTAGCGTGGCTTGAAAAGTGATTGCCTAGTGGTTATCGATGCTTGCTACATTTATTGTTCATTTTTTAAAAATCATGTCTGTCACTGCTTTATTTTATAATTTAATAATAACTACATCCATTTCTATCAGTTGTGTACTAAAAAAAAGTTTCTAACACGTGTTATAACAGTAGAATTCTTCCGGGACAAATTTTTGAAATCAAAAAGTAGAAGTGAAAATTTTAATGGGAATATAAAAAAAAAAAAAGTAACCTCAAAGTTGATGGATATTTTGAGTAATTGAACCTTATTTATATGCAATATTCGTGGAGCTAATTTAAGGAATACCAATTTGAGCAAAGTCAATTAATATAACACGAGTAACTTATTTTAGAGATTAAAGATTCAAATCTCCACTTTCGCGCTTCCGAATCCGAATATGGGCTTGCCTTTTTCATGTTGGGCCGACTCAAACCTTATCAGTACTTTGGGCTACTAGCCGTACACTTGGGCCAAGTTTGGGGGCATATCTTTATTCAATGGTGACACAGATTGAGGAGTTGAGAGGACAATTTGTAGTTTAAAAAACATTGTACTTTTTTTTTGTTTACAGTTATATATAGTATATATATTATATATAGTAAATATTTCAATGAATAAAGATATGTAACTAAATTCATCTATGTTTGGTGATTAAGAAGGTATATGAACATGGTTTAATGGTTAAGGCATCTTATTCATTTATTTTAAATTGAAAATATAGCATTCCACTATGAAAAAAACTCATCAAAATTAAGTGTCAATTTTTATTGAGGCAATGATTTAGTCTTTATAGTTTATAAATATATTTGGTCTCTCATTCATTTAATCTGAATCGGTCTACTATATAAGGAACCTCATTAAATCTTAACAAAAGTGTTTTTTATGATAGGGACTAAGTCGTTATAAAGTTTAAACTTTAAAGACTAAATTATTACCTATTAAAGTTAAATGACTAAATTATTACAAATTTAGTTTTGGTTTGAATGTTTTTAGATATTTGTTTGGTAGTAAATTTGAAAATTGAATCTCAATTTAAAAAATTTGTTAACTTTGTTAACGTGTTTAGTAGTATATTTTTAAACTAGTTACCACCTAAATATTTAGTTAAATATTAAATAGTATTAATTGATTTATTAACGTATATGTTATAAATTTGGTAGAATTATTATTTTACAATATTATATATTTTATAATATTTTCTTTTTTATTTTTTAATTTTAACAAAAATAACAATGAATTTTGAAATTCGACATCTTAAAACACTAAAAACAAAAAAAAAATGTTGTTTCCAAAATTTATACGGTTGACAGAATCGGAAAATAATTTTCAAAAACAGATTTGCTAAACAGATTTGAAAAGTCGAGCCAACATTTAATTAACCGAGTTCGTGTATCTTTATGCAACAAATTCTATGAGCTATATATTCTTGAAACCTTCTCTTCGAATTATAGCCCGCTTTTACAAGATCATAGCTTAAACACAAACTACAGAAACTCAACCTTCTAAAACCTATTCTTCTCCACAATCTAATATAAACCCAAAATAATTTGATATAATTTTTTCAAAATTTACTTGATCAGAGTTTTATAACATAAATAACGAAAACGAGGAACTTATTATCAAGCTAGCAAGTTTGTCTTGTCCGAAATAAAATAGTTATTGAACATATCTAACTCGACTGGACGATTTAAAACCGAGCAGGAGGCAAAGGCTTGGTAGAGAGGAAATGGGAGAAGAGGGAGAGGGATTGATGAGGAGCAAAGACAGGGACTTGGTGGCCAGCCCCTCTTACACTGGCCAAGGTGAACCCTCCTTTGTAGGTTTCAACCCAACCAGCCACTTGATGCTTGTGATACCATGTCCTCCATTCTTCTTCTACTTCCAACCCCATCTTGTTTATGCTATATCTCGTCGACGTTATCGGTACCCGTCCATCGGTGTCTCCGCTGCAAAATTATCATCCCGAGTCGAATAGTAAAATGTATTTAATTTTTTCATAACATTCATCTATGCAGAATGAACAAATAATTTTTTAGTTTGTCATGAGTAATCTTTTTCATAAATATTAGTAGTTATTGTTCCAGCTTGCATACCAAGATTAACATGGTTAATAATACCAATACATGGATTAATTACATGACCTTGACAATCAACTATATACGAGTTAAAATTGAAACTGTTTATCGATAGTATTACTACCTAAAAGCCAAACATTACCAAAACTATCCTACATCCCTTCTAATAAATTTTTGTCTCTCTCTAATATTTTCTAAATACAAATAAAATTGTTAAGTTTTAAATTTTGTATTTGTAAATTTTTTTAAAAAAGTCACCTTACTCAATGGAGTTTGAATTTTGTTTTTGCGAGTGATTTAGCCATGAAGGAATCTTGTGGATATAAGATCAGAATTAGGGAATTACCTATAAACCCAAATACGTAAACCAGCATTGAGTAGTTTGCGAATGATAGACAACACAGAATCAGAAGAGTCAGTCCACTGCCCAATCACACCACTGTAAAAAACAGTGAAAAGAAAAAATAATTAAACAATTCGGACGTTTTGAAAATATGGAGATCAAAATGAATCAATGTCCATGGATCAAAAATAGTATTTAAATTATATTATATACACACACATTTATGTGGGGGAGTGAACAAATAAATGTAAAACTTACAGTGAGTTGTACATGTGAAACATTTATTATGATGATTTTAATGCAATGGCAGAAGAAAGCAGAAGGGAGGAAAGAAAGCTCCAGTTCGATCATTCAGCACATGCTCTTATTTAATGCATGTTGCTGCCATTGATGCAACTACTAGTCTTACAAAAACCATTTCCCATGCTTGAGTTTATATTATATAGTTCAAGGTTGGAAAATTTTAATTTTTATAGCACCTGTTTGGATGAATATTGTATAAATTGTAATCCCCGATCCGAGTATGACTCAAATGGTTTGATTTCTCATCCTAACATAAAAAAAGGTTCGGTTTGTATAGATATGGAAATGGGGTTGAGAAGCACTAGTTTTGACTCTAGTTTATATCTTTGGTTTGTAGTTATCTAATTTCTAAAAATTAGAATTTGTGGAGGATGTATTTTGATTTTGACTAATTTCTAAATTTTTTTAATTTTAGTTTCATCTTTAATCTTTTAAAATTTTCAATTTTATTGAAATTTCGAATTAAGTCTTTTTCTGGAAAGATGGTTAAAATTTAATAAAAATAAATCTAACAGGTCATTAGATTATTGTACTTTATCAATATATTTTATTTGTTTGTGGGCATCTAGAAAAAATAGATTTTGTTAATAAGTGGGTTGAATTTTGTTGGGATTCAATTTCATGTGTCAACTGTCAAATAACTTTCAAGTGCATGTTTAAGGATGTTAATAATGCAAAAATTTAATAATTCGTCAACTTATCCACGGCTCTACTAAAAAAAGACCATCTTGTATTTTATTTTTTATTACCACAACTAAAAAAAGGCACACTTTGATTACCATTTTATTTTTTATTATTTATTTTTAAATTTTGTTTCCTTACCAATTCTTTGACATGTCTTTGAAATTTTTTTCAAAACACGTTTGAATTATTAGCTTGTTTTTAAAATATTTTTAAAATTAGGCATAGATTTTGAAACCGTTTTTTAAAATAGGTAACAAAACATAGGAACACATACGTTAAAATTGTATTTATATACTTAATTTTCAAAAACAAAATAGCTATTAAACTCATTTTAACCTTTTTTTAGAAGGGAAAAGAAAATACAGTGGTGAATAATAGTACCTGCAAGGGGTGTAAGGATATGACAGGCGGGTGACATTAGCATGGAGAGCCTTCTGAACATCCTCTCTATTAAAAAACTTCTCCGCATAATCTTCCGTACATGGATCATACCCTGACGGAAGCTTGTGCCATAGATCCTGAACAAACCATAAATGTTGTTTTATGAATTATATTATATTTAAATAATTCATTAATTAACTTTAAATCTTTTTATAATTTTAATTACTCCTCTATTTTTGTCTTGCTAGTACAAAAAAAATATATTCCACCGGAAAATTCTTTCACTTTAAAATAAGTAAATGTCTTAAACGATGAACTTTTACTCATGTTGGAAATTTTCTTTCATCTCTTCAATGGCCTAATTCTTACTCTAAATATTCTATTAGCTCATAAAGTATTATGTCACCCTCACGTAAGTTTACCCTTAGCCATTTCAGTATTTATTGCTATAAATAATATAATATAAGAATCTTAAAAATGTAAGGAAATAAATACAAGAAACGACAAGTTAAAAAGCGGAGCTTACATGCTTGGTAAAGATTCGAGGAGAGACACCGATGAGTCTCGGGGTGGTCGGAGAAGAGGAAGGAGAGAGGCAGAGAGGAGCATAAATGCTATAGATATCAATGTCGGAGTAAGCCAACAAGAAGCCTCTAATATGATTATCACAATTGGCTGTTTCTGATTGGTTATTGGAGCTGGAATCAAGTGCGAATCCACATCCTTTGACTATGTTGTGGTACAGTTGATCAGAAATGATCGCATGGCTCCATGCATAGTCTATCATCCCTTTTGAATCTGTCTCATCGTTTATCACAGCATTTCCTATCTGGTTTTTTTTCCATTTTATTTAATTAATTAATACGAAAATTTTCTCAATCCTACTCCAATAATAATTTTTTAAAGTTTTTTTTATGTTTTTCTCTTAAAAAAAATAATCATTTTGGGAGTTTTTTGGATTTGTGTAAAAATTTGTTAGGGTCCTTGTGAAATTGTGTGTTTAGGCTCCATCCATTAATGTCAAATTTAGAAATGATTGGTGAAGACTAAAAATGAGCATTTATGAGTGTTTGGGATACCGAAATAGAACGTTTGAAAAAATAGATGAGAAAGACAAAAATGAATAATTATGAAAGCTTGGACCCAAATAGATGGTTGAAAAATAAAAGAACAAGGACAAAGTTTTGAGACCAAGTAAATATTTGGAAAAAAAAAAATACAATGAGTATTTATGAGAGCTTGGAGACCAGAATATAAACATTTTGAAAAGTAACAAGAAACTTAATAAATGTGGAAATTTCGAAACTAAGATTATTAGGATGTAGAGTTAAGAATTTTCCATTTGAAAAAAGAAAAAAAAAAGTATTATAACTTATTTAAAAATTAAGAAACCTTACCATGAAACCCTTGAGATTAATGAGTGAATCCTTGCTGGAATGTTTGTTTCTTTCATAGATTAGGTCAGCAAGCTGGGGAACATAATGACCTTGGGCATAAGAAAAATAAAGTAAGTTATTTAATGCAATTCTCAAAATAAACCAATAAAAAAGGCAGGTATCACGTAAAATGTTTAAATACTAAGATGAATAGAAATTGAAATTGAAAGTACAGTGACTAAAATGAATAAAAATTAAAAGTATATAGACTAAAATAAAAGTTGAGAGTATATATGAACTAAAATGAACATTTTAAAAGTACAAATATCAAAATAACTAAAATAGTATTAAAGCAAATATAAAATATGAATTACCGGCGTAGCTTTCTCCAGCTAGATAGAAATCATGGAGTTTGAAACTTGGGAACCTTTTGAACCATCCAAGAAGAAAATTATAAGAATCTTGAGCTGTGATTCTATCTCCAAGCTTGTGCAAATCTGATGATTTGTTTGTATAAGAGAATCCCACTCCCACTGGTGACTCCAAAAATAGCATATTTGCAGCTAAAAATGCAACACATAAAAAGTGAATAAAAAACGAACTCGAAAATTTTAAACTTAATTTTAATCTTTTGAAACCATGAGAATATTAGAGTCTAAGCCAATTAAAGAAACTTTAAAATTTTATTTTATAACTTATTTTAAAAGTATCACATGTTTGACCTTTTAGAATTGTATTAATATAATAATCCACTCATTAGTAGTGTTTGATATAATCGTCGTCGTGTCTAATAGGTCTATAATCATCGTTGAACTTTCAATTTCTATGTCTCAAAAAAATTGGAAGGATAGGAGAACTCTATTTCGTGTCTAATATATTTTTAAATTTTAAAAAATGTCTAACCACGTAAAATGGAAAAATGGAAAGATGGAGGCTGAGACAACTTCAAAAGCTTAAAAACTAAATTTATAATAATTTAACTTTTTTAAGAAATGTAGCTAGATTTTGGAAAATGGAAAACTACAACTAGACAATATGAAAATAAATACTTTTAAAAGAGTTTAATTATTTAACAAAATTAAAAAAATATAGAAATTAATTAGGTTTCTTAAAGTACCTTTGTTCCAAGAGAATTTGTTGAGTTTTAACTGGCCATTGCTCTGAACTAGGAAGGGGCCCAACTCTTGTGCAGCTCCATAGGCTATGGATGAGCAGCCTGGTCCTGAAATACCATAATCATATAAATTTAAATAAAATATTTATAAAAGTAATGATTTAAAAGCATATATCATAGAAATAGTAATGGTAATCAATTTTACTTTTTTGGATTTTGGATNTAAATCGAAGAAAATTATTATTGTTTTTTAGTTCAATAATGTACGTATTCGAACCTTCAACGTTGTGGTCGAGGTTATATGTCTTAATGAATTGAGTTAAAAATTATTCAAAGTATTTTTTTTCTTAACTAAAAGTAAATCCAATGTTAAAATATTATTTTGGTCTTGTAATTTCAGTTTTTGTTCATTTTAGTCATTAGTTTATTTTAGTTCCTGTAGTTTAAAAAAATGTCACTATTTTGGTCCCTTAATGTTATTTGTAATCTCATTTTGTCTAATATTTATCGCAATTTCAACACGATACTATATTCAATATATTGCTTGAAAGATAACCATAACTTTATATTAAAAGTTTTCTATTAAAAGTTTGCAAATAAAGACTAAAATTGTCACTTTTAAAAAATACAAAAATCAAAATGAACATTTTAAAATTATATCGATTAAAATAAACTAAAGTTGTAAGTACAAGAACCAAAATGAACATTTTATAAGTACATGAAGCAACCCGACTGATATAATCTAGAATCCACTCTCCGCCTTTACTTAACTTAGTAGTATTTTAACCGTCAAGAAAATATCCAAACAAATGTACTTTTATCTTGTTTTCATTATCTTTTATCTTTTTCTAATACAACCATGGGATTGACTCGAGGTACATTACAAAGTAATTTATTCCCTTTCTTATTAATAAATAATTCATTAATAAAGCACTAACAATATTAAAATAACTTAAATTCTATTTTAATCTAACTTTTCTCACCAGAATCACCTTATTTTAGAGGAGTAATTTGAAATTTATTACACACTAATACATATATTTTTTTTATATGGCATAAATACAGATTCAATATATGTAATTTAAAATGCAAGCTTTTATAGTGTTATATAAAGTTACTTGAAAAAAAAACAAATTTTTAGAAGTGAAATAAGTAATAATAGAAGTTTTTTTCCTCAAGAAAATGAAAAGGGGGACAAAATCAATAACAATAACGACAGAAAGAAGGAAAACGCAAAAGGAAAAGTACCAATGACTGAACTTCTTTTCTTTATCTTTTTCTTTTTTTTTAATAAAAAAGAAACAAAAAGGAAAAGGAAAATCGTGAACCATGGATATGATAAAAGGAGGTGGGCCCGGGGAGACGGGGGGCGTTAGTTAACGCAGGAACGGAATATTGTCTGTGCTATCGATAAAGTTTTACTAACAGAAGACCGTTAGTTGACAGAGATGTACTTTCAGCCCAGCGCCACCCTCGTGCGCACGGGTTCTCTGCGATTTCTTCCATCATTGATTTCTCCTAACTTTTCTAACGCCAAGGGTATTTTCGTCATCTTCTGCCTCCTAATTATTTTATAAATTAGTGATTTTTGTTTTCAATATTTTAATCATTTTGAGTTTAATTAATAAAGGTTATGGTTTAATTGGGTTTAATCGATTAGGCTCAGATCGATTGGTTTATGGATTTTTTATTAAGTTTATGTACAATTTGAGGGATGAATTTTTTAAGCCTAAATTTATTACTTAGTCTATGAAGTTAAGAATCATATAGTCGCACCGAACATAGTTAATAGCAAATCACGTTTATTTTCGTGTTTATGAGATTAGATATTTAAAGGTTCACACCATACACTTTCTGTGAAGAAAAGAAAGGTAAGTATATTCACAATATATTAAAAATGTGTTGGACTTCACTAATTTCAAGGGACCACACTACTTGAGAAATATTTTTGTACCCACTAATCTTTTATATTTTTAGAGGCTTTCTATACTTTTGATTAGTTAAACTCAGTTTGAGTTAGCAATTTTTTTCCTTTTTGAATGATATAATTGTCCATTAGTGATTAGGAAATTCTTGTTGCCCATTGTTAACTTTTTAACACGTGTTTATTCTTTTGAAAAAAAATATTAAAAAAAAAGTCTAGATTCTCTCTCCTATGTTAAAAAAAAAAAGAAAATATAAGTGGACAGCAAGAATTTCCATTGGCCAATTATTAGGAGCGTATTCTTTCCCAAAAAGAATTAATTAATTATTAGGGAGGGTATTGTTTTTATTTTCTTTTCCTGACAAAATAAAACAACCTCCGGTCAATTCTCCACTTGAACTTAACTCAAAGTTAATTAACATTTATTTCTAATCAAAAGTTCATGAATTCGAATCCCTTTTTTCAATTTGGCGTAGTAGAAAAAATCTCACATCATTCTATTTTATAAATATTTTTAAAATAGTAGTAATTAATATCCTAATTTTGCTATGAAAAATCTTCTTCCTTCCACATTTTCTTTTTTTAGGCGAATTGCAAATCCAAATTTTACCATATAAGGTAGTTTATAAAAGATAGTTCAGTAGTAGTTTTTATAATTTAGTCTAGAAATTTCTTGACATGGTATAATTTTTTTAAAAGCAAAAAAATTAAAGATATTTGAAGGAATATTAACATTAATAAAAAAAATTTTAAAATGGAAAGCGTTTTTTATTTAGTTTTGGTACCGCCATGGGAGCAGCAGAAGAAAGAAAATAAAAAAAAAGGCGGAGAAATTCGAACCTCCGTTGAGCCAGAGAACGAGGGGCTTCCGAGCGACGTCGTTTTGCGCTTCGAAGAACCAGTAGAACAATGCCTTCTCCTCTTCCACTTCCAGCTTCACGTAGCCGGCGTAGTGCCGGAAATTCACCGGCGGCTGCCCCGGCAACCCCGTCACTCTGTCCGCCTCTCTCCGCTGCGCTTCCTCGTCCGCCGCCGCCGTCGCGAGAAGCAGAGACAAGAGGAGCGAATTCCAAAGAGGAGCCATTAGAGAGAATTGGGCCGAATGGGGATTTTCTGAAGGGCTATATATGTAGGGGAGGAGTAGGACTCTGATTTTAACTTTTTATTATTATTATTATTATTTTTTTTTTTTGGTTTGAGAAAATGAAACTGAATTTCACTCATTAATGAATTTGCAGTCACTGTGCGGCGTGTGAAGTAATAGTAAAACTATCAGTCAACTAAAAACCCCAAGTTTCATAACTATTTTGTTCTTTTTTTCTATTTCTTAAAATTAAGCATATGAACACTGCTTTTCATTTTTTTAAAATAATGTTTTTATTTAAACGTATATTTAAAATAATGCTGGCATTAATTAAATTAAAGAAAAAATATATTTTTTTAATTTATTCAAAAGATAATGCTTTTGAAATTGGTCCCCACTTGATCGTCTCTTCATGCCACTTTTACTAGTTGGTCGTCTCTAGACATGGTGCTTTATTAATGCCAAGTCTGATTTTTTTTTTAAAATCAAGACATGGTCGTCTCCTATATATTTGACCTGGATTTTAAAGGAAATAATAACTATTATTATATTATATATTAAAAAGTAGAGTTTTGTTCAGAAAACGAATTAGTGGCACGGTGGATTATGTGAGTTTTCTTCCTTCTCCTGGGTTTGAGCCTTAGAGGAAGTTGATTAATTGTAAAAGACAAATAATAATAATAATGTATTGTTTTAAAAAAACATTAATAATAATAACTTTATTAATTGTAAAAGAATAATAATATACTAAAAGTTGATTAATTGTAAAATATAATAATAATAATAATGTATTGTTTTAAAAAAAATAATAACTAAAAAGTTGATTAATTGTAAAAGACAAATAATAATAATGTATTGTTTAAATAATAATAATTTAAAAGTTGATTAATGGTAAGAGACAAAAAAATTTGGGATTTGAGGAGAAAGAAGAAAGTTGYCCCATGATCACGTATCTCTACTTTGTAATATATAATATAACAATAGTTATTATTTTCTTTAAAATCCAAGTCATCCCGTCGTCCCGTGAAGAAACGAYTTTRGGATGTGCTCCAACATATGGTCATCTCTTAAAGAGAGGACCAACTAGTAAAAGTGGCATGTGTTGGATAAGTGGGGAACCAATTTATGGTTATCTCTTGTAGAGACGCCCAGGTGGGAAACCAATTTCAAAAGCATTATTTTTTTGAATAAATTAAAAAAAAAMWWTTTTTYYTTWAWTTTWWTTWA